TCTCAGACTGGCTTGTACATGTCACATCTCAGACTGGCTTGTACATGTCACATCTCAGACTGGCTTGTACATGTCACATCTCAGACTGGCTTGTACATGTCACATCTCAGACTGGCTTGTACATGTCACATCTCAGACTGGCTTGTACATGTCACATCTCAGACTGGCTTGTACATGTCACATCTCAGACTGGCTTGTACATGTCACATCTCAGACTGGCTTGTACATGTCACATCTCAGACTGGCTTGTACATGTTACATCTCAGATTGGCTTGTACATGTTACATCTCAGACTGGCGTGTACATGTCACTGCAAGCGATGTCTAGCCCACCCAGTCTTACCTGCTTCTCCTGATGCAAATAATCTAGAAGGACTGGATAGAGTCTGGTTTCCTTAGTGATCAGGATGAGTTTCATCGCTGTCAGCATGGAGCCCTGGGCAACCAGCTCTTGGTACAAGACTTCAACACACTTGAAGTAAAATGGCAAACAAAGCCAATCATTTTTTGTTCATGGTCAGGGGTAGAAGCCCTAGAGGGTTACCCAAATCATCAAATTCCAGGCACTGAGTCTCTTGAGTGGACACCTTTGAGTTAAAGGCAAATCTCTCTTTGCTTGCATAAACATCTCTTTGTCTAAAATGATGTTAGGGTTTGAAGAACTTCATTTGGTCCCCACAGTAAGTAGTGGAAATTGATTACGGACGCCAAGATAAAGCCCGAGATAACCAGATCTAGAAAAGGTGCAATTTCTTTTTTATATTTAAAAAAAGTGGAACTCCTCTATCTAAACTCACAACTTGATTGAGTCAATGTTCACTTTGTGTAACTTGGACATAAGTAATCAAATGTCTCATGTTTATGCAACTGACTGCATTCGAACCTGGAACACATTAAATACAGCTATACTAATTGAGCACTCAACATGAACCGCGCCCTTCTTAAAGGAACAACTGAAGACCAAATTGACAGTGGTTGTGAATATTGTCCTGATGAGGAATCGACCCCAGGACCACAAAGATACTTGCTCTGAAAAGACTCCACTTCGGGCTAATTGCCCCCCAAACTTGGGCAAAAAACAGGATTGAAAATTAGCAAGAACTGAATCATGCCCCACTGGCAAATAAATCAAACTAACAGGCAATTTGGTTTCCAATGAACCCAGACTCGACCTTTGAATCAGCAAGGCCATTCCAACAAATCCTCACCTCTGTCGTGATGGTGCTATACATGTGAAAGTATTCAAACAGGTCCAACAGAGTGTCATCATGCAGAGAGCTGTCTGGATGTTGTATCCAAGCAACTAACAACTCTACCCACGGATGATGGGCAGGACCGTTGCTATGGGAACAAAAGATGTTTAACTTGTGACACAATTAGCCTGAACAAAAATCTTGTGATCTGTAAATGTTTGAGACAATCCTGACATAGTGAATTAGACAGCTAATTAAGAAGATTTGTAACTGCTTCGTTTCTTAATGAGATACAGAATTCAAGGATTTTTTTTCAATGGTTGCAAATTCTTTTTACAAAATAGTTAGCATACATGTATAACTTTCAACACAACAATCCACAACAACTGCTCAGAATGGTTATTTGTGATATCATCAAGATACTATACTATATGAATACTATTTCTGTTGTGCTTCCAAACTCAGGTACATTCCTTTCCAAGATGCTACATGTTTTGTGCAGATTCAGATGAAAATTGGTCAAACACAATCTGCCATATTTGCACACCTGAACCAGTACACACACACAGTATGTCCTTCCTTGGTCCCCTTGAGTATTTCACACACAGTGTTATCTACACTCCACACACATATTCAATCAATTTCCGTACCTTAATTCAGTTCTCTGAAGTGGCGGCCATTGCTGTAGTAACCGTGACAACGTGACCAGCTGCTCCATGGAGTGACTGTTTCTTAGCAACAATGAGAAGAGTTTATCACGAGCATCTTCTGTAGCTACATCCGCCTCGACAACCTGGAGGATTTTTACAAACAACACGAGCAATTACAAACGAGTAACACTGTTCCAAACGTGTAACACAAAGAAAGTCCTTTGGAACAAAGTTTGACGCTAGCTGCAAACGCTTTCACATTATGAAATCATATTCAAGCAGTGGCAAGCTTGCCAGTCTAGCCTCTGATTCAAACTAACTCCATCCTTGGAGTTGGACACATTTTTGGACCAAAACCTCAAAGAAAAAAATATTCCCAATTAAAAGTATTGTGGGAACAGTGGAAACATTAAAATTTTTTAGGAGGAATTCAGCCAAAGTGTGGCAATTTCTAGAAAAAAATTCTTAAACTGAGCATATATATGGTTCAAGGGTATAGATGTTTATATTTTCTTATCGCTGTGTAATTATTTTGCAAGATATCAGAGAAATTCTGCCTTGTTAATACTCATCACTGCAAGGTTGGTTTAAACCTTCACACAAACGAATTGAGAAGGAACTACGTGATCAATACAACAAACTGAAGATACTTAAATTATAATCTCATTTCAACAAACATAAAGCTTGAGTCACCTGTTGTTCCCAGAGGGAGGAGACGAGAGCCTCTGTACGATAGAACAGCAGCAACAATGCCTCTTCCTTACCAAGCTCAAAAGTCTGCACAGAATATAATTGGGAAAAATTAATAACTTTTATAATTGGTTTAATCTTTATTCTTACAAATGGGTCATTAGGGAGACATTTCAATGTTTCCCTGATGCCCAATCTACCAGGAGGCCGAATTTTGCAGTCCAAATTTTGAGAAATGATAGATTAGGGTCTAAATTCAAAACAAACAAAGTTTGGTTCAGATCAGATTAGGAAATATTTGTTTTTATACGTTTTTATGAGAATGTCTCCCAAGTGACCCATTTTTGGTAAACATTATGACAACTGTGAAATTAAGGTGTGTGCCCTAACTGAAGATGTTCTATACATAACAGGAACCAAAATCTCAAATTTAACGAATCATAGAGAGCAGCATTGCTTGGTGTACCTTTTCCAGGATCAGTAAGACATCAATGCGTAGCTTAGCATCAATGGTACTATCACTGTAGAATGGTCTCAAGACGTCAAGAATTTGACTAGCAGATACCATCTTACCACTACAATCGAAATAGACGTGGACAGGTTAATCATAGATTTCAGTAATATCATACAGCAAGTTATCAAACCTAATTCCTTTACCATCGTAATAAGCACTTTACAAATCCTCTACTGTGATACATTCTTCGTGCGCTAACTTTCAAAGGGTGTTAAGTCCCATGTACCAAAGAAGCGGATGGTCTCAACTTGTCTCAATCCTATAAATTCCTCCAAAATTCCACAGAGGATTACTGGAGATTCTGAGGCAAACAGTGTTCAAGTGCTCCATTCCAAGTCAAATTTTTACATCACATAGTACAGTTGACACAGGCTTGTAAAATCTGATCTAGGCTCTGGTACTGCGACCAGAGAACAGAGAACAAAAAGAGATGTATCAAGTCTCCACTTGTCTTACCCTTGCTGTTCATGTTTGCTGACTGTACGCAGTACCACCTCCATCATGTCCAGTGGTTCCTCTTTCAACTCCGCCCCAATCATGGCCCCATCACTCTCCCCTTTCAGGAGACTCAGTAAGGTCTGCAAGGTGTGCTGGATGGCAGACAATGGCGTCGCTCGGTCCAGGGATGCCAGTTTGAGAAGTCTGGAAGTGAGTTCTAGGGTTGCGCCGCCACTCAACAGGTCCACCAGGAAAGTACGCAGCTAAAAGAGGAAAACCAACGATAAATTCTCTTTGAGAAAGATTTAGCAAGATTCATGTTTCCTGCTCTCCTGAACTAGCGAGACAATACAGTAACTTCCACTTCAAGTTTAGATGCTGGCAAGTTGTAAAAAGCCGTACCCCAAAAAACGGTTCCATCTTCAAATTCATCAATACACAACAATGTCTAACCTTGTCAGGGTCACCCTGGGTCAGATCATACTTGACAGTATAACTTGTTGACATTTCCTGTTACAGGAAGACAGAGAGCATTCATTCAATATGTTAGCAATATAACAAAAATGTAGGACTGACTTTTGAAGATTTCAGAGTGTCAGTAACAAAGACTATCATCAACTAAGTCTCAAAAAAACACAGTTGAGAGGTGAACTCTGATGTCCATAAAGTTGTAGATAACCCTATCATTAGTTTAAAGATTGGTGAAAGATTGTATACACTCGCAAGAGCTTACATGTCTGCCTATGGCAGCCACAACTAACAGCTGCAACCACTCCCCATAAACACGTGTGTAACAATTAGCTATAGCTAAAACTTTCAGTTAACTCTGAAGAACTCTGTTAGAAAAAAGAGGAATCACAGGAATCTCAGGAATCACAGGAATCTCACCTGATCATATTGTATGAGAGCTTGAACGCCTTCAGACTCTAAGCTCTGTAGATGACGGACATACTGTTGAAGTTTCTCCATGGCTAAGTCTAAGGTGAAGTTCCCCGTTGCTGCAGCTAGTTTGTGCTTCCCGGATTGCTGACGACTGAATTTTAAAGCTCGGTTGGCGACGTTCTGACGACACTCAAGGTCCAGCTGACAAAGACATATCAAGTCCAAAAATAGTTAGTTTATGTGACAAAACATGCTGATTACACTACTTATGCTTAAAAGGTATACACAGAATTATCTTCTAGACCAATAGGGCCACAGAATATGGCAACTGGTCAAAAAAGAGGTACAAAACAATTATTAAAAACTTACAGTTTTGTTGAATTTTGAATTTTTGCAAAAAATTCTGAACCAAAGTTTGGTGACAGAACTGTATGTTTACAGTAAGTACTAGTTAGCTACTCAATGCAACGCATAAAATAACAGAAACAAATCTAAGGCTTTATTCTTGGACTGAAATATTTCTGAAACATGACAATTGTTTCATTTGTAATTACAACATCCCTCATTGTTTCATTTATCTTTTATTTTGTGTCAAAACTTTTCCACACTGTACACAGAAAAAGGACCTCGTTGATTTCTTACTGACATTTGATTTGCTCTGCTAACCTTCTGGATGGATTTTTCACGGAAGACGACGTTCGCAATGAATGCAGTGAAATCGGCTGGTCCAAGACGGGCAAAGAACTCACCGCACGCTTCATATCGATGGAGCCAGTCAGCCTAATAAAAAGTAGTGAAAGAAAACAAGCTCGAGGAAAGCTACCTCCGAATGTTGTGAACCCATGAACTCCAATGAGAAATCGAAAACAAATTTCCTTGGATTAACTTGCCTTGAACTCCAGGGTGGAAAATCAAACAAACTTACCATTCATGTAAAGACAACGGCGATGAAAACTGACCTTGACACCAGCAAAGCATTACAAATCCAACACGGTCAGCTTTGTAAAATGTACTCAAATTCTTAACAAATACCTCTGCATGGAATCTTCTGAAATCTTTCAAATCTTCCACTGTAATGTACACATTGAAAGTCCAAGCTCGAAGGGCAATAAGTCTCGTGTGGCTGAACTCTTCTTCCTAAATCATGCAATATCCTACACATCTCTCGGTAGATTTTGAAGGATCTGAAAGAGTTTGGTCTGACAGACCAAAGAAGCTAACCCCGTCAAGTAAACACGATGAACAAACAGTTAGAAGGGATCAAAGAGAAGACTTACTGTCGATTCCGGAATCCTCCTGTTACCTTGGTCTCCTTCCCAGAAGAGCTTAATGATGTAGGCCAGGAACACTTGACTTGAAGAAACATTGCCACCACCCTGACAGTGCAAAGAAAATAAATGCACGGCCAAGTTAATACAGGTGGATATGGTTATGATTTGGTGAAGAATGAATTAAGGAGGGGAAGAAAAACTGACGCCAAGACAGATAATGTGGATAGCAAATAGTTTTTGCCGTTTCCGATCTTGGCTGACCAAAGTTTTGGTTTTATAAATAAGTAAACATTCTATGCATTTTTTCTTAGAAATATTGATTCGGATTCATAGTAAAGAGGGGGCTAAGTAGCAACAGCTTAGGGGTCAAGATCAGAGAGTCGGGTTCCAATCCAGCTGGTGACCATGGGTTGTGTGCCTCGGCAAAGTATTTTACTTCTACTTGCCTCTCTGTGATAGGAGTAGAAGTGGGTACCAGCATAAGCTGGGGAACAACCTGTGATGGACTGGCATCCCGTCCACAAGGAAATGGAGATATTCTCCATTATCTCATCCCAATTAAACAGAAATTAACACTGTCCTGAGAAGCCATATTGGCCAAAATGAGGCTCGCCTTAACGGCCTCATCTTTAAGCAATGTCCAATTAATACTAAGCCTCAGCAAGAGTACCAAGTCATAATCCTGTACTACCCTGTGTTACCTGTAGTGGTATCTTGGCAGCTAGTTTAGCGATAACATGAACATTTGATCCACTCAACACTGGCCCAATCACATCCACCGGGTCATTCTGACTGTCCAGTAAACTCTTGTAATCAAGACCTGATACCAAGAAACATGAATATTCATCAGTGTCAAACAGCATGACCATGCCACACTAAGGCCATAGGTCAGTACATATTGTCCCCAATGACTTTTATCAATTACCTGCAAATTTGTCAACTTGTTTCCTTTACAATGATAATTTTTTTGTCATAACTGCCTTGGAATGATAAGATTAAACATCAAGTTAACTTCAAGAAAAGCAGACAAAAACATATCAACCTTTTTTACAGCACAAAAATAAGAAAACCAAGAAATTATTTTGAAAAACCACAACTTTTCAAACAGACAACCCAGAATGTTAATTAAAGCAAAGCTTAAGACTTTGGCATATTTTTTCTTTAACACACAAAATTTCAGCTTTGCAACAAATACAAATGACATTAACTCTAAAAATGTTTAATTCAAACCTGGAGCTGCTGCTTTCAACTTCTTCAGTGATTTAATATGCATCTCGGGGGTCACTGAATCACCTTTGGCCTTTGACCCACAGTTCAGGAGAAGTGAGTAATAATAAATTAGGCGGTTGTGATCATTGCCCTCTATGGTTGGGAAGACGTAGAGATTGAGACGATCATAGAAGTCTGACGGTTGTGAGACCAAAGTAGGTAGTATGTTGGCATTGGTGACATACTCTTCAAGTTTTGGAGTTGACATGCTGTTGTATAAGGATAAGGTTGATATTCCTATTATTTAGTCAATTCAGATCACTGCAAGAATATCTCTGATTTACTCTGCCCTTGTCTAGTCCCCATAAATATTTCTAATTCTTTGTTTTGTAATGAAACTTTATGTATCTCACAATTAGCAAAAACAAGAGATTTAACATTTCAAAGAAACAACCCAAAACAACCAAACAAAAAATAAGTATGCTCAGTTAACCCATCAACAAACTCTACCAAATTGTGATATGAAAGTGAGAATATATCTCAACTAATTCCAGGGTATCTGAGCATCTGTGCATCCTTCGATAAAAACAAACAATGTTCAGGCTTAAAATTTCATATAGTATTTGACAGTTTGACTTGTGTGGAAACATGGTGCCACGTCAGAGCTAATGTCTCATTTTGGACATTCGTCTTAGATGCACAGGCATACAAACTCACCCACTATCTGAGAAGAGATACTCCAGATGAGTCATGTACACCTCCCACAGTGGCAGCTGGTAACGCTGAGCTAACGAGACAGAAAGCTTGTACACTTCCTCTTCTGTTGTCCTGTCATTTTGAGCAAAACAGGCGGAAAATGCAACTGAATTTTTCTAAAAAGAACTCCTCTTAATGATTCATTGTCATTCTCTAATCCTATCTCTGAGAGACCAAAGCATCAGTCAGACTATGAAACCTGTTGAAAAAAATAGAAACTTGTCTAAGCAGAAGGCTTCCTTAACTAGAATGATTGCTACATATTGCTACATGTAGTCAACTGACCAACTTACATTGCAAGGCCAAGAATGGTTTCATGTTTGTAATTGCTGTCCTGTGTGAATCTAGCGACATCAACACCTGCCAAAGAAAGTATTTCGATTGGACACAATGATTGAAATAACACAACCACAACTCAAACTAGAATTCAGACTTTGTGAAACTGAAAACAAACTCAATACACACCCATCTCACTAAACCAGAAATATGACCTAACTCAACCAATCAAATGAATTCATCCATTGCAAGCCATCCTTACTGAATCAAATATTCTTTCAGCCACGCCCAGCCCAACCCAACCAAACCAAAATTCCCAGCCAAGCCAAGTCCAAGCCTGCCAAGGCCAGCTAGAATTGAAACCAGGTCACACCTTCAAGAAACATAACTAAGCCACATACTGCCCTTGACAGTCGTACAAATCGCAGTACAGTCTAGTCTAGCGTCTCACCTCTTCCTAAAGCCCGTAATGCCTCGGCCTGTGTAAAATCAGCCAACAGTTCCACGTAATGCTGCAACTGAGACACCAACCCCTTTTGTTCCTCCGACCAATCACGGCCACTATCACCAGTCACCTGACTCACCACCTGATCAATCAGCTTACTGGGGGTCAGGCGGTAGGCGGGGTCGAGGGTTGTGACTTGACTGGGGTGGGCGGAGTGATGGATTTGGAGGGCATAGTAATAGGCTGCTAGTTGTAGGGTCATGGCAGTACGTGGAAGTTGCTCAAAGCAATGCTCGGCATCTAAAGGCTGTTCAAAAGAGAAAATAAATTGCTTAAAAAATTTCAAGTTTGTATTTTTACAAGCTCTGGGAATGTCAAAAGCATGCATTATTGGTCATTAAACCAAACACATGTACTTACATTTGGTAATGCTAGCAAATAGCAAAGGCCAAGAGTGAGGTCAAAGGTCATGACTTCCAGTGCTGCTTGTAATAAAACTGCAAAAAATACCAACATATTGGAGCTTCAAACCAGGGTCTCATCAGAGTTAAGTTTTAAATTAATGACTGATTTGAAAAGAAACGTTCAAAAAGTTCATTTCAAAAACGACTAAAATTGGCAATCTCAACCTTCATTTTGTGCAACCAGATTAGGTTCACTGGTTCCCTCCATCAATCCAGCATGTAAGAGATCCTGACTGAGCTTCAATGGCGTCCTGTCAATCTGCATTTCACGGTATAGCCCATAATTCATCTGTTCCTGAAAAAAGTCAAAATCAGCAATGAAATATAAAAGTAGACTTTAAGCAGGCTTGTCTTAGCACTGATTTGATAGGTCAGGGAACCTGTTCACTCTTATCATCAACAAAATTTAACCGAGATGATATCAGCAAAAAGTTCACTTTAACCAATTTGTGAAACAAATATGCCAGGTTATCTCATCTTTTTACAGGCAACCAAAGTACATGTAAAGAGAAAATCGGTTGCCAACTGATTTTGAATAACAAGTCACTGTGTGTGCAATTTTTGCATTAAAGGAAGACACACACATATACTGGAAAATGAAGAGAAAATCTGCAGCCATAAACCCTTCAAACAATGCAGCAAAACCTCAGACTTACCATTGCAACAAAATGATTATCGATCACCATCCTGTAAAACGGATGGCAACCATGATGATCCATCTTGACATTCCCTTCACCTCTGACCCCATATTCCTCCTCTGTACCATGGCTGCCTCCAGCCAGAGGACGCATCCACTTCAATGTGTCCTTCCACCATCTTCTGTCACCGACCGCAGCCAGCACTGCTTTGGTTGTAGTGCTTGTGGCAGCCAAAACCTGTCTGGTCTTGGCTGTGGTTTTGCCGAGAGCGGCTTGAAGTACAGTCTGATCTTCATGCTGGATAATTTAGGTACAAAACCTTTTTAATATTTTACTAATTGGAATTGAGTTTGTTAAGGAATTAGTATCATCACTTAAACATAATGTTAGAACTAAATGGCATTAATCTTGGCATGTCATACCTGCTCTGTACAAAAACACAGAAATTGCATAAGCAAAGAAACAATTAATTTAGCCAAAACTGCTTACCCACCAAAATTCTTTATGATTAACACTTGTAAATAGTTTCAGCTGACATTTGCCGAGATAGTTTTGCTCAAGAACTCCATGAAATTGGTTCACGATTTGGACTGGGAATTGGAAATAGGGTTAAACTTCTTCTCAGGTGGTGTCTCATTTCAACTGGCTATGAAATTCATATTTAACCTTTTAATTTTCTTTTTCCATAGCGCTACCTGTAATGGCTGTGTCTCAATTTCTGTTTCCATAGCAACCTCACCATGATCATCATCAGCAGCAGAGGTTGCAGGAGGATTTGTTGGCACACTTGATGATGAATGGACATTTACTGACAGACACAATATCTAGGTACAATGAGAGAGGTTAAAGGTCACTATCGTGTGCGAAGTGAGAATTGCTTTCTTGAGGTTGACCCAAACCTCCCCGCAGCAGGTATGACAGGTGTTTAACAGAATTTGATGTGGCCACAAATGCTCCAGAAACATTAAGTACAAAGGAGGTATTGCAGATTCACAAGGACTGAAGATTCTAGTAAAAACACCTTGAGATTTATGGTTAAAAAATACCAAAAGGGAAAAATTGTTGTACATGTCTCCAACCTGCATTTCCAAAGAATTCCTGGCTTTAAGGATGACTTCAAGCGATGCCTCCTCACAATGAGCAAGTGAAAAGGCTAGCAGCTCTCGTCTATATGATCAACAAGAAAATGTAAATGTTAAACATTCCACTAAAACTCTACACAATGGACTGTTTGAAATGATAATCTTCAACAATCTTTAATGACTCACTTTGCGGTGAGATCTCTGAATTCCTCAGCCTTGGCCAGTTTGTAGCACACGCTCCATCCTGGACTATAACCTGCTTGTATCAGCTCAATGCATGTATGGTGCATTGCCCGGTAGTCTGCAGCAGCCAAAGCAGCCTCAGCAACTTGTAACAACACTTGGCCCTTTCTCTCTACTTCACTGGTACCCGAGACACGTAATAATTTTGCTAGACGAAGAAGCTGTATTTAACACACAGAAATTCAATTGCTGGTAAAGCCAATCACTTCTCCTTTTTTAGTAGAGTTAAGAATTGAAATGAAATTGAAACTTTTACATGGTAGAAACTAAAATATCCACATTCCAGTTTGGGCAAATGCAACATTTGTAATGAATAGAGCTTTTGAAAACAGCTATTTTCAAGACTGGATAAATGAATTTCTGTACCTGCTTTGAGTCCCTGTAGGAGCTCTGCATTGATGACAAAACTTTTTGGATAAGTTCCAGACGATCTGCACACAACCTCACTGAAAAAGAACCCAAGATATAAAACCATTATCTCTTGATTGAAGTTTTTGGGATTGAGTGTTGTAAAGTTGAGTATTTGACGTTTATCCTTTGAATATGTAATTGATTAGCAATGTAAGCAAAGTTCCTGTGAACTTTAGAGGAAATTTACACCACAAATTTACTGAAGTTGAAGATGAAAACCCACAACCTTTTGCTTACAAGAGCAGACATCTCACAAACAAATTAAAGGGTTTGCAGAGGTCAAGGCTAATCATTGAATGGTAAATCCAATATTACAATTTTTGTCTTCTACAATCCAACTTCAATCATAAGAAAAAAAAGGCTCTCTAAAATAAGATTTCTAAAATCACAGTGTTTTATTTGATATTATTTCCAAAAGATATTTTGAGGTTCTATAGCCTTGTTCAATATCCTATTTAGCCTACCTTGTAAAGGGAGAATGGAGACATTGTAGTCATCAAGAAGAGCCAAGCTAGCTATGAGATCTAACTCTTCCTGCACACCTGGTGGACAGTCATGCAACAGCTGAAGACAACACCTGCGTGTGAAACAGACATAAGGCACACCTCAGTGCCAGGCTAACAGACTGGCTTCTCAAGCCTGAGAAACAGAGGGCAGCCACAACAGCTAGGCTACAAGACTTGTTTCCAAGAAGAAAGAGATTCTTTAATATCCTAACCTGGCTAAATCCATGCAAGAATCCATCAGATCAGCAGACGAGTTGAAATATTCTTTAGCTGCTGACAGCACCAGCTCCACCGACCTCTTGTAGCTGATCCGTGATGTTGCAGATGATGCGATCCCACCATGGTCACCAGAGGTGGAGACAGGGTCTTGAGAGGAAGAAGAGGAGCGCGTCAGCATCTCACCAGCCAGCTGGATGTTGGAAAGGGAGCTGGATCCCAGTAAGCTCTCAGTGTAAATCTAAGGATGGCAGATAGAAGAAGACAAAGCAAAAACAGCTGAGCAAATTGCACTATCAATCTCATTCTGCCATAATCAGCTGGCGATCAACCAAATTAAGGTAACATGAGCTGTCAAATTCTGAATTGTTTGAAAAATGCAAGGAATGCAGTTGTGTAGGTGGAAATAATGTGAGAAATTTGAACGGTGAAATGCAAAGCCTTCAAGATGATCTAAATTTTGACAAGAAGTTCAAACATCATTTGGAGGGAGCGAGAACATTACTGGAACCCTAGAATTCATTTCCACACAGTAAATAGCACACATGAAGCAATACTTTGATGAAAAGTTCCATGCACAGATGATTTTGTGAACCTCTGTTACCTCGTAGCAGAGTTGAGGCTCCAAGCAGGTGTAGACCTTGCGTTGAAGCTCCAACATATCCCTCAGAAGTTGTTTCCAATCCCCGGCATTCAATGGTGACTTCCTGGCAACAGGCAAATATCAAATGGGAACAAAGAATTTGAATAAACCATTCAGAAAACGTGTGGGGGTCTTTTTCAATTGTGTCTTACTATCCACAATTTAGGATCCACTCAGATATGATGACTGATAATCAATGGACATCATCAATATCAATTACATTGGTTGAGTGACACCAGCACTGATTTCAAGCAGTGGCAATACATGTAGATCTAACGACTGCTGTTTATGGTTTTGAAGCACAGGCATAAAATTCTGCATTGACCCTTTGAGCACAGAATATTTAGTTGAGGAAAGCACACATGCAGATGAACCACATTTCTTTGCGTCTCCATGAAATACACGTACATGTATGATATCAGTCAGAGTTTGTTCTGCAGTTCTTCATTTTAATACTTCTGAGGAGATGAACTGCATGATGGGTCTGCAAGGTGGAAAAGATTGCTAAGAAAAATTAATTTGCTAGGCAAATACCAGCTAAATACCAGTGACAAGCAATTTACATTGTAAGAAATTTTAGCTGGTAACCCATTCATACTATTTACGTTTAGCACAGTTCCTTGTCTTACCTTCTCGCTGCCTGCCTGGACAGTCTGATCATCAATGCCTTGGCCTGGTCCTCATCTGTCTCAGAATCTCGTATGAATCGCGGAGGCTTGGGCACGTCATGCTTGATCAGGATCTCAGCTGCTCGGAGATGGTCCGAGAGATGACCCAGTCGGTTATGGAGGTTGGACATCTCCTCTGACTGCATCCTGATTTGAGAGAGATGGAGAAGAGTCCTTAGACAGAGGCAAACAATAAAACTTACACCTCCCCCTTAGGTAGAACCGGAAGAGTTGGTCGGGATGGAATTGCCCGTTTTATTTCACACTGTGTGTGCAGGACCTTACCCGAAACTTCTTCTTGGCATGCAATCCAAGATGGCTAGGGAATGACTTAGCTGGTCATCCCGATCACTGGCGTACACACACTGCAATGCTAGACTCATCAAATAGTCACTCTCCTTGATAATACCATTTGGAATCTGTTCAAATAAAACAAATCATGTGAGTAAAAGCCAGGTTATCCACTACAAACTTTGTTATGCTGATAACCAACTACTAAACTAGCACATTAAACGAAATAACATTTATCCTTATGGTTACAGATGGTGGTTGGTCATCTACATGTAGAGTCATTTGCACATAAAATAACTAGAGAAATTCACTAGAATTGAAAGAATGGGATTATTCTTTCTTGACTATTCTCACCGTTGGCTTTGAGTTTTCAAATATCATCACGCAGTTGGTCAAATCCTCCTGTTGGCAACAAAAAAAAAATTCATTTAATCTAATGAGGATTTTCTCCCAGCAAGACAAGTACTTCCGGTGGAAAAAACTGTTTTCTTTTACACACATTTCAATTTTAGTGATTCAGTTTGCTTAGAATTGAGTTTCTATCATTAGCTGATATGCGGTAAGAAGTATAACCTTTTTGTTCAAAGCTGGTTTTCTAACAGTCTTTGTGAGAAAGACAGCAATTTCCCCCACCTTAGCCATGGTCAGCATATATTGTGTCATCAACTCCTTCTTTTGTCCAGGAGCCTGTTTCTCACACCTCTCCAGAAATGGTATCACCCAGCGCTTGATATTCTTGACATACATATTCTTGGGCGACTGTAGGAAAAAACAGGGTGTTTAATAATCCAAACTTTTCCATAATTGGGATCTTTGGTCATAATCCAAATACAATCCCTCCTTTTGAGATTCATATCTGAGTTAACCACGGATGTTTAAGAAAATAATGAATTCTTCAATGTTACAAAAGAGAAATCAAGTATCTTTGTTCTCCCAGGAAAAAAGCAGGGTTTCTAAGAAGAGTAGACAAGCATAGCTAGGGGCATCACCAGGAAAAGGCAAAAAGACCCCCTCATGAGCAGCAAAAGGCCAAACCATCAAAGATGAAAAGGAGTCAATTCTCAGGTATTTAATCTCTTAGCATCAGTTTTTTCCAGGACTCATTGGAAAATTAACAATTCAGTTAGAAAAGTCATTTGTCAGGGTAGAGAGTATGCCTTTAATTGTCCAGAGAGAGTGCCTTTGATTACTTTTATTTATACTACATGTACAAGGGAGTAACCAAATACAAAGTATTTTAATATGAGCTTATCTATCAAAGATCGTTAAATGCCACAGTATTCATTTGGTGAAGGGAAACAAAAGTATGCGGAACTTAAACAGATTGGAGAAATGAGATCAAAACGGAGAGCAAATGACGACACAGACATTAACTGCACATTACAAATGATGCAATGTTTGCAGAAGTCTTCAACTTTTGAAATTAATGGAACTTGAGGCGATATCAAGACATGATAAATGTCACAAAGGACTTTCTTATTGCACTTGCCTGGACAATCATCAATACTTAAGGAAAGGTTCATTCTCAATGACATGATATTTGGTATGTGTCTTCTTGGAAAAACAGAAAGTGCAATCCAGAATCCTGTATGTAATTTACTCTCTTAAAAGCAAGTATGTATGATAGATAGTCTGGCAAAAACCAATGTACATTAAAAGACCCGTGTGCTATTGATTAAGAAATCATTAACTACCTAAATAGAAAGTGAAAAAAAATCTGTGAAACAGAATGGTTGATATTATTTATGAGAATTCCTAAAATACTGCAGACAAAATATTGATGACTAGTATTTAGACCTCGTAGGACTTACATGTAAGCATCGTGTAAACAGAATGTTATTCATTAATCCAAAAACTCATTTCATCCCAAGTTGGATATGAATTCTTTGAAGTTTTATTCTGTTGGCAGTGGAATTGAGAGTTACTTTTAATCATGAGAGATACAATCTTCCGACTAGCATTAACACTCATGGTGAGACTAGTGATACCTGAGGTATAAAAAATGAATCACTGAAGAAAAGACATCATTGTCAGTTCACCAATCCAGTCAGATCAAGAAGAAGAGCTGAATGCATCCTTCCGACTTTATGACGACTGAAGGTTTGCTTGGCTAAAATAGATGTTACTGCTAGCCCAGCTGATTAAACAGAGGTCTTGAGCAAAATGAATGGGTTAAGTTTCAGTATCTTCAACAGCTGTGCAGCAATGCATTGAGAGTTCTTCCATCCTGAGTCATCGAACAATTGAAAAAAAAAAGGAAAATACTGGCTCCATTACTGAAAATCCTTCCAGAGAAAGAGTGTCATCTCACTGGTACTTTGGAGGCCTGATACATCTGATAGCTGCTGGACGGCAGACATGTCATTCTAAACTAGTAAGTACTATCATTCTTTTTGTCCATTTTGATATTTAAGCCAAACAAAATGATTCTTTCTTAGTTGGAACTATTTGTCTCTATCTCTGATATTTTAAGAGAAAACACCCCAAAGTCTACGCTGCTCATTAAACAAACAAGGCAAAGGCATTTTTCTTTTTAAATACATTAATGAAGACCTTTAGGTAGAGCGAGATCTGCAGATCTGGTGGTCACCCAGCTATTACACTGTTTACCATTTTGTGCAGATTGAAGGGAAACATCCACTGGTCTTGCCTTGCCTTGATGAAGACGAAGAAAAAATCAAGATGAAACTTTAACGTCGACAATAAAACCAGCGGGAAGTGTTCTTCCATTTGCATCACACAACAACTTCACTTTCGTAGGCTCAAAAAAAACCCACTCTTATTTGATGAAGAGATAAAATTCCTGCTTACTCCTTGTCCATCCTGAAGGCACAAATGAAATGGGCATTTATAAACAGATATTATCTAAATGCCATTCAACATGTATCTTCTGTACTTTCATGATGCTCACAAGAAAACTGCCGGGGTTTCAATTCTGAACAGACAACGAAGATAAACAATTACTACCATCTTTCCAAGATTGATAACTCATTTTTGAACGTAAATACTGAATGAATTGACGCAACCATGGGTTTTGAGTTTTTGGAGCAAGGTGAGGTTATCGTATATATAATGATGGTAGTAGCCTCCACTGGGGCAGTAGGTAACCTCTTGGTTTGTATCACCATTAGGCGAGCGAAACATCTTCAGACTGTCACCAACTATTTGCTGCTGAATCTGGCTAGCTCCGATCTTCTCACTTGCTTCATCTTCTTACTCGCTAATGTCCTGAAACTGCTGGGCATTCCCTCAGAGGTCAAGGTCACTCCCTTCACCCACATCTTCTGCCATCTCTTCTACAGTAATTACCTCTTTCAATCCTTTTCATTTGTGTCTGTCTACAATCTGGTCATCATATCGCTTGAGCGATATGTTGCAATTGTTCATCCGCTGAGGTACGAGCAAATCTGTTCCAGGCAAAGAGTGGGCGTGGCTGTTACAGCAGCATGGGTGGGAGGGTTCATCCTGTACCTTATCCATCTCTTTGGTATTTACACTGATGAGGGGGATGCAGCCCTCTGTGTTTATAACCATACATGGGAGTGGCATTTCATGCCATTTGTCATGGGGTTTCTGCTGCCATTGGCTGCAATGATCTGGGCTTACTACCAGATCATTACGACACTTAAGGTGAGCGGTGGGCTGCATTCACCTCCCAGTCACGCCATTGAGTTAATCAGTGCTCGTCGGCGAGTCATCCGTCTAATGTTGCTTGTTACTGGCATCTTTGTTGTCTTGTACGGGACCACTCAGCCTATTCACATGATCATTGTGGTGGTCGTCCGAGCGTCCTATGAAAAATCTGACAATTCCAAGACCTTAGCCTGTTTGCTCATTTATACATTCAGTGACATTCCCGCCATGTTGACAAGTGTCTTAAACCCAATCATTTACACATTTCAGTATCAGGCATTCCGTCGAGGGATGAGGGAAGGGTTGTGTCCATGTTTGAAAAGCGGAAAAGTCTCGCCGACTGTATCTAGAGTGATTGTTCCTAACAATAACAATAACACTGACACTTCTTGTTAAGAGAAACAGCCTAAATGTGAATCTCAAACACTCAGTTGAAATTGTTAACACTGACACTTCTTGTTAAGAGAAACAACCTAAACGTTTATCTCAAACACTCAGTTGAAATTGTTAACACTGACACTTCTTGTTAAGAG